GATTCCTGAAGCGCTAAGCAGCAGTATCTGCCAAAGAGGGGCGGGCGGGAGGGGGGGTATTCAACCAAAAAAAGCCTTCTGCCACCTTCTAACTGGGTCATTCCCCTTCCCAGCTACATCTGAGAGCCGAGGTGTCAAATGGAGCTTCTGCGTGGAGAAGCAGCTTTCAAGAGCCTGGCCCCTGCTGTGCCCCCCACCCCGGCCTCCCCCCCAGCCTCGCACGCTCATCCCCTGGCTGGCCTCCTTTTCCCCACCTGGGCTGGGAAGCACATGGAGGAGGTGGTGCTTTGTTTGACAGATGCTCAGTGGGCTTAGACTCTGGTGGAACTGGTGCCACCATCCTGTAGCTGAGTAAGCTTGGGCAGGCCACGTGACCTCCCTGAGCCTCAACGACCTCATCGGTAAAATGAGTCCAATAATAGATCCTTTCACGTCTTAGGGTTGTTACGAGACTTAGGTGAGATCACCTGTGCAAAGCTCTCGTCACAACACCTGCACATGGCAAAGACTCAGCCCATGCCACCCATTAGCTTTATCAGGAGCTCCTACTATGTGCAAGACAGGGGGTGCTGGGACTGAACGGGACTGGTCCTGGGGGGATATCAGATGGCAGTTGGCAGGGATAAGTAAGAAGATGAGAGCAGACAGTTAGCAATGCATGTTGTTGACAGAGTGCTTGGACGGGGGAGAATCAGGGAGAGCTTCCTGAAGGAGGTGGGCTTGGAGGAGGAGCAGCATTTGAACTGGTAAGTATGCAGAGGAGGAAGGAGGGGCAGTGCAGGTTGGAGGATCAGACTGGAGAGGCAGCAAGTGTGAGGTGTGTACCTGTGTGCACCTGCCAAGGACTGGCAGAGGTGATCATAAGTGCCCACGTGCTGCAGCTGCCTACTGTGTACCAGGAACAGGGCTGTGCTTTACAGGCACCGTGGCTTCAAGGTTCAATCCTATCATTATCCTAATGTTACACTGGAAGAATCGCAGGCTTAGAGAAATGATGCAGCTTAGCTTGCCTGAGGCTATACAGCTTCTAAAAGAAATGCAGTCCCAGACCTGAGACTCCCTAACTCTGGCTCTTACCTGTCCCCAGAGAACATCTCTGTTTCTAGGCAAACTAGTTGGGAGAATGTCTTCAGTACTGGGGTGGAGGCAGTTTTCAGAAGGGCTCTAAATATCAGAAATGGGGCTGTTTTTTTTTTTTTTTTTTAATAATGAAGTGGCAATTCCACAGCAGTAGGTAGCCAGGGAATGCTCTTGAGCAGGGGATGGGCCTTGGCAAGGTCAGCCTCACAACTGGTTTGGAAACAGCTGGGGCATCCCTCAGAAGCTGGAGGTGGGAGGCCAGGTTGCAGCTGTGGCAATAGGCTAAGGGGTGGGCCTGGAGTGTGTGGGCAGAAGAGTGTCCCTCCTCTCTGCCTGTGTCACTTTCCTCGTCTGAAAGCTGGTGGAGTTGGACCAGGACCTGAACTCTGCTGCAACCGCCTCATCATCTGAGTGAACATCTGCCTGTCCTATGAGACCAGGCACCCCAACGGGCCACTAATGTGTGAAGCACTGTTTATCCACAAAGAATCAGGCTGAGCCCACGACAGAAGCATGACTATAACCCTCCTAATGAAAACACTGATATTTATAGAGCCAAGAAGGAAGACAGAATAATAGTGCCCCTTGTAGTCATCCCCATCCTGGCTACAGCGAGTGACAGCAACACTCGGAGCTGACTAACATTTTGTTGAAGGATTGTAGCCTGACTGAAGCCCAACAGCCTCTCCCTGAAGGTCCCCATCTTTACCACCCTGCTGAGACCAGAGCCAGAGTCTCAGTCCCAGCCTCGGTGACTGCAGCTCCGCAAGTCAGGCAGGAGCACTGTCCGAGTGGGCAGCCAGGCTCCACCATCCACTGGAACTGCTGGCTGGACAGTCATGGGTCCAATCCCCAGACGGTGACAGAAACCCATGTCAAAGCCAACATCTCACCCTTCCCCTGTTCTCTGGGACGCCTTGGGTCCCTTACACTTTCCCTGTTCACTGGTGCAACACAATGCATGGAGCACTTACTAGGTGCCATGAGTTGAGCTGGGTGCCCAGATATGGTAGCAAGTCAGAAAGACTCTGGGCCTCTTGGGAACAGAGAGCACACAAGCACACATCAAAATAGGCGAGTACATTGGCACTGGGTTAGTGCTCAGAAGGGAATACGCAGAGATCATCAGTGGATGTGGGGGGTCCACTCTGGGAATCACAGAGGTCTGCTCTGAGGAGGTGACCATTGAGCTGACACCTGAAGGGCAGGAAGTAGCCAGGTGTGCAAAGGCAGAGCTTCTGGAAGAGGGAACAGCAGGTGCACAAGACCTGAAGTGGGACTTGGCAGGACTGAGGAGCGTCAAGAAGGTTGGAGAGCTGGAGCAGGGCAGTGGGGCGTGGTCTGGGCCAGGCATGCAGGAGGAGGCATGCAGGGCCAGGTGCTGAAGCTGTGCAGCTCTGTGCACCTCAGGAGGGAGCATGGACTTCACTGTACATACAATGGAAATCCACAGAAGAAGTCTAAACTGACTCATCTGGACCTGTCCCAGCTCAGCCTCCACTTGTGTAAAACGAACACTCCTTGTCACCTCTGGACCGTGGTTTCCCCATCTGCACACCTGATAACTGTCCAGTTTAGCTATTCTAGGAAGCTAGGTGCTCAGAAGGGGGACAGAAGCGGCTGACTGGTCAAGAAAATGGCAGGCTGAAGGCCTAATGGTCAGTGTCATTGGGGGTTAAGGAGCCGGGGCCTGCAGTGTCCTTCCTTCAATTGTCCCAGACCACAGTGTTACCCAGGAGCCTCCTCCAGAAACCTGTGCTCTCATTGCCCAGAAGGAGAAACTGAGGCCAAAGAGTGGAGGGGCATGGCCTTTCTTTTGTCCCAGCCCAACTCTGCCCCCAGGTCAGGAGCACTACCGAGAGTCACATACCTGCAGCAGTCAGCTGCAGCATCCAGCTTCCCAAAGTCAAGGTTCCTGTATCCTCAGCAGGACGGGTCTAACCTGGCTTCTGGGGAACTGCCCTCCTGGAGCCTCCGGAACCCAAGTCTCCCAAGCCTTTCCCTCTATCCTCCGAAAGCAGAGTGCTTTTACCTTTGGGCATTCCCCACCTGCCTGCAGATAACAGTTTACAAATGACTTTTGTGACCACCAGTGGAGCGGGGCTCAGCTGCTCTTATGCCCAGAGACCAGGTGTTCCGTCTATCTCAGAGCCCAGAAGCTCTCCCAAGCTCCCTCCACGTCTCTGAACCCCACCAGCCCACACAGCAGATGGCCTCTCTCCAAGTCCCTGCCCATGGGGACCTTCCTCATCCACCTGCAGAGTCACTTGATCCGCAGGAAGCCACAAGTGGAAGAGAGAAAATGTGGGTTTCCTTCTCCAGACTTCCCAGCCACACACCTGCAAGAAGCTGAGGGCAAGGCCCCCAATATCTCCCCTCCTGGAATATAATGTGGGGCTTTTCCTCTGGGATTTATAGACAAAGCTTCTGGGAGGCTCTCCTTTTTCTCCAGGAAAAGATTTGTATTTTGCAGAGGAGTCTTTTGGTAACTTGAAGCAGGGTTCAAACTGCTATTCAACCTCATTCCCCACTCATTTCACAGACAGTGAAACTGAGACCCCAAAGGGATGACTAATCTCTGAGAAGCTCTGTGTAGTAGAGTAAGAGTGCACAGGTGTGCTGCTCTGTCTACTGGGGTTCAAGTCCCAGTCCCGTAACATTCTATGGCTTTGGGCAAGTATTTAGTTGGTGACAAAGTTTCTTCCTCTTCAAAGCAAGAGTAAAAACAGTGCCCACTTCAATGTTCTAAGAGTTAAATATTCCATATCGTTACCTGATATTACTTAATCAGTCACAGAGGTGATTGGCAGAGCGAGGTTGCCTGTACCTCCCTAGAGGCAGATAGGAACTTGGGACTTCCAAGAAGGGTATGATTGTAGCCAGAGCCTGCGGTACTGATCAGGCGCTGCCCAGCGTCTGCCTAGCATCTGCCTAGGGGGCAGGCTGGGTGTGTGTGGGAGATGGCAGTTGAGGAGAGAAGATAGGGGAAGTCCCAGGCTGCTCCCAGCTGGGGGAAGGGAAGTAGGGACTGGACATCAAAGGGTGGGCAGGCCAGCTTCCCGCCCCCAAAGCCAGGTGGCCTTTGTCAGGACAGGCCAGACACAATCTGGACAATGGGGTGTCCTGTTCACTTTCCGGCCAACAGGAGTCACTACTGAGCCAAGTCCCAGTCTGTTACATGACAAAGGGGGTACCCATAAAGATCAGGCCGCCCCTCATTAAAGCTGAGCCTTTGTCCTGCCCCCTCCCCTGCTTTTGAAGAGGGTGGATCAGAGAGGCCTGCCTGGGGGCAGGAGGTTCACAGGCTCAGAGCCAAACAGTAGCCACCTTCCCCACAGCATCTACCTCCCCTCCCCCAGGGTCAAGAGTTCAGGGAGGGCCCTGGGGAGGTTAGGTAGGGACCCCAGCTCCAAACTACTGAGAGAGACTCTTTGCCAGCCAAAAGATACGACCCAATCTCTTCTCTGTAAAATAGGGGGTTCAGTCCTGGAAAGGAAGTGACCTGCCCACTCTCACAGGGACGCCAGGTTTGTCGCCTCTGCTGGAGCTAGGACAGCAGTGGAAGAAGCCCAGGAAGATCACCAGGGCCAGACCCCCTAGGAGTGCCGGGATAGGAGTCTGAGGACCTGCCTTCTAGTTCCGCCTTGCACAAGCACAGGCACGTCTCCTCACTTCGCGGGATTTCAGCTTCCCTGTCTATGCAGAAAGAGGGTTGGTGGGCTCCCCAGGGCTCCTGCTGGCTGAGCTTCAGCGGGAAGACACAACAGCCCTCCAGGGAGAGAGTGATCAGAGGCCACGCTCTCGGCAACCCGAGCCCGGCCAGGGCAGAGGTCAAACTAGGGGCAGCGTGGGCCGCGCAGAGCACCTGCCAGTGCCCCGGGAATAGTCGCGCGGCGCAGGGCGAGGGGAGGTGTCCTTACCGCTGCCACCACTGCCTCCAGCCGCCACGCTGCGCCGCATCCACTCGTAGGGGGTCCGCCTCTGCGCTCCTGGCGAGGACGGGGCGCCCGGGCCGCCGATGGGCTGAGCCAGGAGGCCCGGGCCGGGCCCGGGGGGCGCGGGTACCGTGCTAAAGTCCGGAGGGGGTCCGAATGCCAGCGGGGCTGGGCTGGCGGCGGGGGCCGCGGGCCCGGGGCCGTAGGCTACGGCCCAGTCGTCCTTGGGCGCAGCGAATGGAGCGCCCCAGGCCGTCGGGGGCGCGGGGGTCGGCTCCACGTGAGTGTAGCTGGCGAAGTCGGGGTACTGCGGGGGCGCGGGGGGCGGGCCCGGGGGGCCATAGGCTTGCGGACCCAGGCCGAGACTCGGGGGCCTGGCGGGACCGGGATACACGGGAGAGTCCTTGTCCAGCACATAGCCCACGTACATGGTGGCCGCGGGGCCCCCCGCGCATACTGGGCCCTGGAGCCGCCGCTGCCGGCCGCCCCGACGACCAGCGACTGCTCACCTGAACTCGCCGGCCCTGCCGCCGCGCCCGCCCCACCCAGGCCTTTTATAGCTCCGGGCCGCCCGCGGCCCCAGCCGAGGCGGGTTTGCATTTCAAAGCTGGGGGAAGCCTCCGGGCCGCGAATCAAAGGGGGAAACCCGTCGGGGGCGAGGGGTTCAAAAGGAGACAAATTGCCGCCCCAAGCGGGAGGTGGACTGGCCAGGGCCTGGAGGGGGTTGGGGACGAGGGGCGAGGCGCTGCGTGTGGGAATTGCCTGCTAAGCGGTGGACCTGGCGGGCGGAACACCATCCTGTCCTTTCGGTGGCCACAGGGGCCTCCCCACGATTCGCAGTTAACAGGTGGAGAAACTGGCTCTCAGGAGCAGGGAGACTTTAGCTTCACCTGGCATGCGACACAGACACACTCGGCAGTGACCAACCAGTTTGGGGTGAGGGCAGGCAATGCTGACTTCAAACAGGGACTTAACAGGGCGGTCTGCAAGGTAGCTGGTGATCTTTTGGGGGAGGGAAGAGGGGTCACGACCCTTCGAGTCTGGGATGAAAGCTGTGGATGTTTTCCTCCGGGGAATGCACATATGCACATACATGAGGCTGCATAGTATTGGGGGTTTCACTTGGTTCCTGGAGAAATTTCTCAAAGGTGTGGGGAGGGGGTCTTCTGGGGAGGAAGTCCTGGGAAACTTTGATGACCCTCTACCCTTTATCATGGTTATTGAGACATTTCAAACATACACAAAAGTAGAATAGTCTAATGACCAGCTTGTATAATGCTCGCTGTGTAGGCAACGGGCCACCTTCAATGGTGATCAAGATTGGTCACACTTACTTCATCTACTCCTCCCTTTTTCCTAAAGTATTTTAAAACAAATTCCAGACATCATGTCATTTAATGCTGACATACTTCAGTTAGCAGTTGCTTTGTAGGAATCAGGATCATTTGAGAGCTGGGGCCCCTGCGTATTTTAGTGTATCATACCTGCTCTCCCACCCAATCCAGCCCTGCGAACACTTCCCAGCTCTCTCAGAGGGGTGTTTGCGAAGCTGAGGCAACATGAATGATCTTTGAGTTGGGGGCAAGACTGAAGGATTTGGGGAAGGATTCATGAAGGACAGGGTTCTGGATCAGAAAGCCTAGGGGAGAAGGGGGTTCCTCCCTATAGGGTCAAGGAGCTGTGCAGAAGAGCCCTGTAGAGTTTGATCCTCTGACATTTCCTGGGGGAAAACCTAGGTGTGCAGAGATGTGTGGCCCCCAGAAGGAGAGCAGAATCAGCCTCTTATCTGTTGAACCTTTCTCTCTCTTAGGTCACCACATTAGCCAGGGCTGGCTCAGCCAGATGATGATGGGTCAAGGTCAGGATACAACTTGCAGGGTCCAGTGCATAATGAAAACACAAGGTGCAGGAGCCAGCCAGATGGATGAAGTAGAGCAGAAGAAGTGACCTTCTGCAAGCTCAACTAGAGTGACATGGACCTTGACCTGCTGCTGGACATGTCCTACTGGATGCACATCCAGCTGTACAGCGTGTAGCAGCCACCATCCCTAAACCAAGGACAGCATAGAAAGCAGCTGAAGCACCTGCTTAAGACCAAAGAAGGAGGGTCCACCCATAGAGAAGCTGTAGGTAGTGAAGATGCACCTGTGGGACAAGATCATCCTGCTGGGGTGGTGAACAGGGGCGTTGGCATCTGCTGAGAGATGGGCCCAAGACCTTCAACCAAGTGCAGATCCAGCCAAGAATCAACTACTACCTGGGTGAGTTTCTCCACCACCAACAAGCCCGTGAAGCACAGCCACCCTGGCATCAGGCTACCCACTCCTTCAGCTTCATCCCCCTTAACATAGCCTGCTGGTTCATAAAGGCTCACACAACCAAAGAGAGAAAGAAAGTTTTCTGTTCAAAACTTATCTAGAATTTCAAGATGGCAACAGCAGAACATTTCAACCAGGGCCACGAAGTAGACCCTGGTCAGAAGCTCACTCTTACACATAACAGTGAGACAGGGCTCCCCTTACTGCTCAGAGAAGGTCTTCCCATGGTATGGGTGGAAGCATTGAGGTCCCAAAAGGAAAGTGGTAGAGCCCAAGTTTCCACAGCACAGTGAAGGCTGCTTTTGGAAGGGAAGGGCCTGTCTGGGTTGTTGCTGGACACAGATGAACACAGGACACAGCATTGGCTGCCTCAGCAGGGAAGGCCCCAGGTTTCCAGGTCAGGAAGTGGGGACACGCTGGTGAAATGGTTCTCAGAAGTCATCTGGAGCTCTGGGCTGCACTCGGGGGCCCAACCTTTCAAGAGGTCAGTGAGAATCAAGACGAGAGAAGCCGGAGAGGACTGAACTCACTCTGAGCTGGAATAATGAGGACTGCTGGGACTGGAAGAAGAGAAGGCCTGGTGGGAGGGCTGCAGCTGGGCAGAGGCAGGGCACAGCTGGGACTTGAGAGAGAGAGCTGCCGACTTAGATCCCTACCTACCCATGAGGTTCTATGAGGGGCTGTCCATCATGAGATGGGTATCGCAGAGAGTGAACTCTCCATATGGAAGGGACACAAGTGACTGCTGGGAGCCTCCAGTTAGGGATACCTGTTCTGGGGAAGGGAGGGTTGGTGCCCTCCAATTCCAAGACTAGGCTAAATCAGACCTAGATGGTAGGCATGGTTGGGAAGAGGTATAGGAACTCATGTATTCATTCGACGCATACGTATTGCCACATCCCTCTGCTGACACTGTGTTCAGCGCTGAATGAGCACCCCCTCAGGGGTGTGTGTGTGTGTGAGGGGGGGAGCAAGTAGGAACCTAATAATCATAGTAAAAGCAAAATGACATCTTGGTGAGAGCCAGAAAGAGGGAATCAGAGAAGTCTTGAAGGAAGCAGTGCTGTGTGAGTCAGGCCCCTGGTGAGTGGGGAAGGACGTTGTGGCAGAGGGGCAGTATACACGGAGGCCCTAAGGGCCAAGGGGATCAGGTTCCCCTAGTACTGAAAGATCAGTCTTGAGTGGTGGGGGTGGGAGTTGAGTCTGAGCCCAAGAGCAGTGGGAAACTGGGGCAGTGACGCAATTATAGCCAGGACTCAGGTGATGGCTGAGAGATGGGCCCAAGTGGCAGGGGACTTTCTAAGCAAACAAAGGACTGTGTTCCTAATCAGGGAGAGGGTAGAGCCAGGGATCCCTGGAACTTGGGGAGCCACCAGCACTGTGCCCCCCCTAAGCTCTGCAGACACGTGCTGAGAGGGGCTGCCGCCATTCCTACGGATTTCTCCCTCTTTGACTTTCTGACCCCTAGCTCCATGCCTTTTCACCTCTCTAAGGTGGCATACGGGCACTAGCATAATAACAACAGCAATCTCACCGCTATTTATTGAGCATTTTCTAAGTGCCAGGCATCATGCCAAGCCCTCGGCATGCATCACCTTGATTCATAATTCCCCCAGCCCAGGGAGGTAGGATTGTTATCACCATTCTGCAGAAAAAGAAGCTGCAGTTCAGAAGGGTGAACTCACCCACCCGAGGCCACACAGCAAGTCAATGCCCTATCTGGAAGCTTTTCTTTCCTGCTTAGGTGAGCTGGCCTATAGGATAGGGAGGATGGTAGGCCTGTGTAGGCCTCCCCACCCCCAACTTGTTAGCTGGAGTTTGCCTAAGCAAATAGCTGGTTCCTCTTCCTCCTCTGGCTTCTTCATGCAAAAGACCCTCTGCTTTCCCCTGCCTTTACCCCTAGGGGGACCCCCCAACCAGTGTTGTCAATAATTCTCAGTTGACATCCCCGGTACCTCCTCCCAAGGACACTCTAACCTTGTTTAAAAGTCACATTCTGAAATTGCAGGTCCTCCTCCACCTTGGCCTTTGACCTACCATATGACCTTGAGCCCCTGGGCCTAGGCTCCCCAAGTTCCCAATGGGGACTGGTAGCCTCCGGAGGCAGGGCAGCCCTGGTGCTGTGCCTGAGTGCAGAAGCCCCCACGTGTCCTGGCCCTGTAGGCAGCCTCTTCCTCTCTGACAGCCCCTTATCTCTGGGAGTGGCTCTTTATGGGACCCCTCCTTCCCCTGGCTCCCTGGGTGGGCCCCTCGTCCCCCTGGAAGCTCTCCCTCCAGGCTGCTCTCACACACCCAGCCAGGGCCTCCTGGGGTGGGGTGCACAGATGATGGCCTCATAAAGATCTTAGCGATAAAGGGCTAGGAAGCACAAGTCTGTGGGTTCGATTCCCAACAACCCTTCCCCCAATATGAGTGACAACTTGGTTTTTAATTGGGTTTACAGACCTGGAATCTAGGCTTACTAGAAGAACCCAGGGCCAGCCTCAGGCCCACAGTGCACCCACCTCCATCCAGCCTCTGGAAACTCTCTAACCTCAGTTCAAGGGCTTTGAACTGGGGGCCAGGTCCAGCCAAGCTCAACCTTGCTTGTCACCTTGGGCAGGTTAACTGCCCTCTCAAAGTCGGCTTCTACCTCAGAAGCCAGAATAGCAATTCCTGCTCTTCCTACCTCCAGGGGGCAGATGTGAGCCTCGGAGTGGGTGGTGGGGCTCCTGGGAAGCCTCTCTACCTTCAGGCCTGCCCTCCTCCCAACCCCTTCCCTCTCCTCCTTCCTCCTCCAGAGGCTGGATGTGCCACCTGCTGGCACTCCAGAGTACTACAGGAGGACCCAGCCCTTGTAACCAGGTGTGTCTGATGCCTGAAGCCACTGATACTTCTCTGGGGGGAACAGAGGCATGGGAAAGGGAAGCATTCCCGGGGGACGCAGACGCATAGGGAGCAGAAGCGATTCTAAAATCAGAGTCTGGAGCAGACTGCCCTCATGAGAAGGAGTTCTGTGTTTGACCTGTGGTGCAGAGAAATACACAGATCAGGGAAGAGACAAAGGTCACACAGCGAGTTAGAGGTCAAAGCCCAGGCTGGGACTGAGAAGTCCCAGTTTCCTGTCGGGATTCACTGTTGTGGCTTCTTGGACGAAGAACTGAGGGCAGAGGTGGGGTGAGATTCAGTTCATGGTTGCCCACGCCCTTGCCCTGCCTGGCTCCCACTCCCTTAGCCCTTCCTCTGCAGTGTGCCACAGTCACCTACCTTCATCCCCACCCCATCTTCCATCTCATCACCTCATCTCAGGTGTCCTGGTGACACCTGAGGCTCATCCGCTGTTTAAACTTCTGCAGTGACCCCTGTGGAACCTGAGGATTGAAGCCATGCTCCCTCGGGCCTGCAGGCCTTCATAGCTGGCCCCTGGCTCCCTTTCCAACCTTAGATGCCTCAGCCATTCCTTTCCCTCTGTTCAAGCACACCACGCTCTCTCTAGCCTCTAAATTTTTGCAAATGCTGTTCCTGTGCCTCACACACTGTTCCCACTTGCTTGGTGCGTAACCTTTCACCCTCAGGTCTCAGTTGACAAGTTTCTTCTCCAGAGAAGCGTTGTCTCCCTGAACGAGAGTCCCACCTGTCCAGCCCATCGCTCCCTGTCCCTTTCATCATGCTCATCACAATTCAATACTATTAATGTTTGTTTTCCTTGGTGTTTGCTTTTGAGCCCTGGGAGGGTAGGAGGACAGGGCGCACAATTGGTGCTCAATTAACTTCTGTCGCCATGGATGGGTGGTGAGAGAGTTAGAGTAAGAGGACTCCTCTGAGACCTACTGTGTGCTCTCAAACAGGTTCTTGTCCTCTCGGGACCATAGGAGCCAGTGTGCCCAATGAGGAAGAAATATGTGGTCTTCCAGGGTGCTGCTGTGGTGGTGATCTTTGAAACATCTCTGTGTGCCCGAAGGACACAACCTAGTCCCTGTGGTCCTGGGGCACTGAAATGGAGGCCCAGTGAGTAGTGTCTTGAAACCCTCATTTCCTGGGATCCCTGAAAGCCTCAGTGGCTGTAGTCTAGTTAAATAAGAGGAGTCCTAGGAATCCTGAGTGGATTGTGACCCAAGGTCCCCACAAGTTCCTCTGCCCACTGTGGTAGCTACCAGATAAATGTCCAGAAGGTTTGGAAATTCCTACTCTGCCTCTCTGGCTCTCCAGCTGCAAGTACAAGGACCTGGCTTCTCTGCTCCTATTGTACAGGGCAGAAGGATGCCGAGCTGGGGGCCAAGGGACCTGTGTTTCAGGGCCACCTTCTCTGTGAACCTCACGCAAGCCCCCTCCATTCTCTGGGCCTCAGTCACCATGCCTGTACAATGGACAACTCTCAGGTCCTCCTGGCCCTGGCAGCCAAGATGACTGTCGGATGCCTGGGACATGTGTGCTGCTTCCCCATACCCCACCCCTGCCTGGGGAGCCGGGGAGCTGCTCCGGGAGCGTGGGAGAGCCAGATGTGGTGGCCGCTGGCTCTGCCTGTGTGAGTGTTGAGCTGGCCCACTGGGAATGCTCCCCTTGGAGCTCCCTTTCCGGCCCCTGACCCCCATCCGACTGAGAGCCGCTGCTTCCGGCTCTGACAGGCGTGGGTGGGGTCTTAGGAGGGGGGGTCTGCTCATCCTGGTTCCCTACTTCAGGGAAGAGCATGCGTCCAGACAAAAGCCTGGCTGCAGCCCCAGCCTGTGGCTGACACAGTACAGGCATGAAGCCTGGCACAGTCGCTTCCATCACTGACCTGGGCCATGTCGGCCCTAACGTGACGTGAGCAGGCTGGACAGGCTTCCCTCAGGCACTGACCACATGGAGACAGCACCTCCCCACACACCTGAGGATCAGCTGCTTTGGTGGAGCCTTCTTGTTCTGCTCTAGGGCTTGCACAAAACACCATGCACATGGCTCCCTCAGGCCTTTCCACCCCTGCCAGGTGTGCACATGTGTCTGCTTGAACACCTGAAAGTACTGAGGCTCAGCGAATTCGGAGACTTGGTTGTTGCACAGCTAGAAGTTGGCAGAGCTGGGCTGGAGCTGCCCACATCAGAGCTCAGGGTCTTAACCCTTGAGGGTGCCGCCATGCCAGGGGAAAGGAAGTGGAGTCCTAAGGCCCAGAGCCCCTCTGCATGATGTCTCAGTCACCCCAGCAGGACTCCCCACACTGAGTCCATACTCCCAGCTGAGTCCAGCCTTTCCCGGGACAGGCATGTCTGAGGCTGGACCTGGCTCCCAGTATCTGGGTAGTTGAGAGAGTGCTCATGGCCTATTCTGCTCCCAGTGGGGCTGGGGGCCCTGTTGACCTCCCCAGCATGATGTTACTATACTGCCCACGTACCCTGTTCATTGCCCACCGTTTCAGAGCACTCAAGGGGACGCTGAGGCCCAGAGGCATGCAGCGATGGGAGGCTGCTTGCAGAAGGGAAGCTCCACATTGCAGGGACCACATTTTGGACACTACACTAGGCCTTCCAGGGACAGTACAAATCTTAAGAATTTCTTAAATGCTCTTAAGAATCTGTCCTTGGGCTGGGGCTGTAGTGCAGTGGCAGAGGGCTTGCTTAGCATGAGTGAGGCACTGGGTTCGATCCTCAGCACCACATAAAAATGAACAAATAAAATCTATTTGGTATTCTGTCCATCTACAACTACAAAAAAATTAAAAAAAAAAAAAGAATCTGTCCTTAAATTAACCCAATTTTCCAGAGGAACAAACAGAGGCTCAAGCGTTTAAATGACTTGCACAAGGTCATACAGCTTGAACCTGGAGAAGCTGGGATTTGAACCCAGGCTTTTCTCTGGCTCCAGAAACTGCCCTCAGTCATGACATTTCTGCCTCAGCATCCCGGCCTTAGTGAGCACTCTGTGGTCTTCTGTGGAGCTCTGCATCTCCCACCCACATCTCAGAGGAGAGGAGGAGGAACAGCCCTGGTGCCCACCAAGGGTTAATGGTGGTAGGGGCTAAGTGTTTCCAGATGGGCCAGTCAGATGGCTGGGCTGGCCGGAAACCGGCGGCAGCCAACTTCCCCAGGGAGCTACCATCAACCACCCCCTCCCCTCTGTGCTGCATCTCTGGCCCCCAGCTGTCCCCTGCCCTGGGGTCCACCAGCCTCTTCTTCCTAGCCAGAGTCTAACTCTAAGGGAGTTTGCAGACAGAACATCCCAAGGGCCTCCCATAACAGCAAGCCCAGCCTGTTATGGACAGACAGGGAAACCGAGGCTCAAGCAGAACAAGAGACCAAGGTCTTTCAACAAGGCCTTGCTCCAGAATAGCTTCCTTAGGAAATAAGGGGTGGAAACTCCCCTTTGCTTCCCCAGAGCTATCCTGGTTGCAGCAGTTGGTCCAAGGGTTTAAAGGTAAGCAGACAAGGACGCTAGGAGGAGAGTTATACATTTCTTCTCTTTCTGCTCCTTCCTCCCTTCCCCACTCTTCTTTCCTTCCCCCTCCTCTGTTCTTCTCTTTCTTTTTGCAATCTAGGGAACTGAGCTCAGGGAATTGTAAATTTCCAATGCAATCTTTGGGCACAAGAATCCTGTGCAAGTCTGACCCTGTGGTCTGTGGGATCACCCCATGTTCCCCTCTGACCACCAAACCCTGGACCAGGTCCCCTCTCCTGGGTGACTCATTACCCTACCCATGGCCTGATCCAGTCTGAGAACCCCTCTCCCATGTGGTCCAGCTCAGATGCTCTGCTGGGCAATTTCTACTGGGATAAAACCAAGAAGTGATTGCAAGATAAACTACTGTGGCTGGCATGGAATCTCAGCTCAAGCGAATCTCAGCTCTGCTGTGAACAGGGGCCTGGATGGGACTGGGGAGGAACAGGGGGCAGGCAGAAGTGCAGAGGGCAGAGAGGAAGGAGGGCAGAGCCAGGGTCTACGTGTGTGAATTGGGACACATTCTTTTCCCCTCTGGGACTCAGTTTCCCCATATGTACGTAATAGGGGCAGGAGATGACTCAGCTCTACCCTTTAAGTCCCTTTAAGATGATGCTCTTGGCTGTGAGGCCTGGGAGTCTGCAACCAGAGACTAATCGGAGGAGGGGAGGGTATAAGAAGAGAACCAGCCGGGAGCCTGAGGTTTGGCAGCCCTGCGGGGGAAGGAGGGTAAGGATGGAAAAGGAGCATAACAGATACTCAGAATGTCTTGTTGAGTGACTGAAAGCAAGAGCCACAGGGTAACCCAGGAAGATGGCAGAGCTAGAGCGCCTGACTGTGCTGGGGTGTGGGTCTTAGGATGACCTGCGTCCCTTCCACCCTGTGATGCACCAGGTCTGCTTCTTCTGTTGTTCCGTGAGCTCAGGAAGGTCTTGGGGTCTCTCTGGGCCTCAGTTTCCTTGCTATAAACAGGGCAAATACTCCCTTCCTGGTTCCAGGGGCTTCGAGATGCTGAAGGGAATATGCCTCAAGATCTGGGGAAACGTGATGACCTTGGGCAAGTTGTTCTCTCTGTGCCAGTTCTCTGGATTCTTCTAAAGAGTGACTGAACATCTTGGAGGGTGTTTCTACCCCTTCCAAGTCCCCTCTTCTCAGAAATGCACCTCAGTTAGCTGTCCCTCTGAGTGCACTCTCAGCCCCTGTCCTCTAGCTGGGTACTGCTTGCCTAGCGGCTGGCTGTGTCTTGCGCTGTATCCACCCGCCCCCCCCAACACTGTTTAGCACACAGTGAGAGCTCAGTATGCTTGTTCAATGAATGAATGTCCCCTGAAGCAGCATGTACAGCGTCAGAGCTTCCTTTACAGATGGGGAAACTGAGGCACAGAGAAAGGGCACCCCCAGGTGCCCTTGCCATCGCAAGGGGAGGCTGCCACCAGAGGCAGGCACCAGGCAGTGAAGCTGGGCTACTCTTTAATAAAAGTGACTCAGTGGCTGGCGTGGGCTGCGGAATTTCTAAACATCCCCTCACATCCTGAGAGAGCAGGCGACGGGAGGGAGCAAGCAGAGGGAAAAGAGGAAGAAAAACAAGAAACTTGGGGGAAAAGAAAGAGGGAGAAAAAAAAAAAAACCCTGAAATTGAAAACAGACGCACGCGTCCACCCTCCCGGCCCCACCGCCCCCCTTCTCCCAGCTGGGCCAATCAGAGGCGGCCCTGCAGCCTTTCCCCCAGAGTGGGGGGGCAGGGAAGCCCACAGTGGTGCGAGCTCCGGGGGCTGCCCGCGGTGGCAGTCCCTGCCCACCTAGCTGGGACCCTAGATCGTTCTGTAAGCAACTTGGAGCCAGAGAGGAGGAGACCAACAGGGAGGAGAGAGCCAGGCCCCTCAGACCAGCCACCCGGCAGCAGCCTGTGCCCAGCGGACACCGGAGGCCAGACTCAGGGCGGCCCCTCCTGGCAACTCTGCTCCTCCCTAAGGATGCTTTGGGAGTGAGGCGAGGCGAGGCCGCCTGCTCCTCACCCGTGCAGCACCCCCTCCCGCTCTCCTACGTCTCAGGGAGCTTGCAAGGCTCCTGCCTGCCCTTCAACCCAGCTGTTGCCCATCTCAGGTCCAGCAAAGTCTTTCTGATACCTGGGAGAGGGCAGTAAGGCAGACTTCCTGGAGGGGGTGACAGCCCACAGCCTGGAACCCTGCCTACAACAGAAGCCATGAGCAGAGAGGTAAGTGAGGGAGAGGGGAGACCTCCAACCCTATGCCCTGTCCCCTTGCCCCAGCCAGTGCCTCTTTGGGTAGATAAAAAAGAATGGAAAATATTTTTAACAAAACCAGATGGGCGGAGGTTGGGTGGCTGTGGGCAGTGTCAGGGCCAGAGGAGTAAGTTCTCTCCTCCCCACCCCGAGGGAGGCAGGCGCTGCTGCCCCCTGCCCTCTTCAAGACAACAGCCCCCAGAGGACTCTGGGTGCCCAGCAGGGCCTCTGATGTCCATCACAGTCTATAGGGGTGTGTGTGAGTGTGAGGGAACAGAGAGGGGCAGGGGTGGGGAATTGGGAGGTGGCACGCAGGATACCTAGAAAGAGACTTAGCAAGGTACGGGGGACCTCAGGGACTAGTCTCTGTCCCTTGGCCCAAGCCTTGTTCCTAAGAATCAGCCTGGCTCTAGGCCAGTCAGCCGCCAGGCAACCTTTGGGGATTTAAATGGATTTGCAAATTTTCCAGATTCCTAAGTCGTCCTTCTAAAGCCCCAGCCGCTGGGAAAGTTCTGAGTCCGAAGGGGCCTCAGCAACTGGCCTAGCCCAGGCCCAGCAGTCCTGACCCAGCTGTCAGATCTGGAGGCTCCTCTTTGAAGAAGGGTTGCCACTGGGGTCCTTCCTCCCATTCTAGGCCTCTGCTCAGCCTCTCGCTCTCTTCCTCCTTCTGGACTCTGCCCCTTCTCAGCTCCATCATAAAACAGGAGTGGGACACGCCACCTCCCTGCCCAGGGCCCATCTGTGGCTCTCCAATGCCTGTAGGAAGCCCCACCTCCTAACAGTGGCTGCCACTGATTGACACTTACTGCATGCCAGGCCTGTGCCCAGTACTCTGAGAATACCTCTGTGATGCTCACCAGAGCAGGGACTGTATTTCCTCTGCTCTACACATGAGCAGCCACGCAGTAGCACGCAACTGTAGCCACACAGCTAGTAAGTGGCAGACCCTGAGGAGACAGGAACCTTCTCCTACCCTGTTACTCCAATCGGGCTATCTATTGATTGATTGATGGATTGTACTAGGGGTTGAACTTGGGGCTCGCACTCTACGACTGAGCTACCTTCCCAGGCCTTTGTAATTTTTATTTGGATTTTGCGAAGTTACCCAAGCTGGCCTAGAACTTGAGATCCTCCCGCCTCAGCCTTCTGAGTAGCTGGGATGACAGGTGAGTGCCGCTACACCCAGCTCAGACGTGGGCTTTTGGTTCCTCCCAGTCAGATCCCGGAACATTCAGAAGAAATTGGCACTAACCTGTCTGCGGGCATCTGCCCTCCTCCTCCCACAAGGCCCTGCTGCTCCACCTCTTCCCGGCAGCATTCCTGGTTCCTCCAGGGCCCTGCCCTGCACTTGGAGCTGGAGCCTGGTTGCTGTTTATATCCTGTTTGCACATCAGATTTTTCAGACTCCAGGTTTGGCTGTCCTGTGTCCCTAGTAACCTTCTGGTCAGGCCTTCTGCCTTCCTTCCAGAGTTATCAGGTAGCTTCTCCAGATAGCATTTCTTTATCACAAGCAGGAAGGAGTGTCTCTGCCGGCCTCTGCCACCCCCAGAATGAACAGAGGGCTCTAACAAGATGTTCTGAGGTCACACAGTCCTGCCCTATCTCCAGGCAGGAGACCCTGAAGTTACAACAGCACTGGAGGACCTATCACCAGCACCCACCACAGGCAGGCACAAGAGCCTGTACCACATCTACCTTATAATCCTCATAGCAAGGCTCTGAAATTGGTGGCTACTACACCCATTTTTTCAGATGAGGAAACTGAGGTTTAGAGAGGTTAAATGATTTTCCAGGTCATGCAGTGAGAAGAGTTGGTCTGTCTAAACCCAAAGGCTTAACCCCAGCACAGTGCAGGGAGCCCCTGGTCATCAGGTAGTCCTCACGCTCCCCAGAGGCCGCCCCTGGCTTCAGCACCTGCCCCGGCTCAAAGTGCAGCCTCTGGTCTGACTGCTGCAAGGTCTGCCCAGTCCCTGGCTTGGTTCTGAGAGAAGAAGGAGGCATCTGGTCAGACAGCAGTTATCAGGCAGCCCTTCCTCCTCTGTGGGAGAAGAGCTGGGCTGGTAATTGCCCACAGATGTGGGCAGGCAGCAGCAAGCACTGTGCATTCCGAGTCAGGAGCCCTGGGGCTCAACCTGGCTCAACTGACATCCTCGGAGTGGTCCACCTCAAACCCCCATGTCCCCTCTCTGGCTGCTTTCCTATCTGGGAGGTAGTGGACACTGCTGATGAATACCAATAAGCTTGGGCTCCAGATGATTGTGCCCTTACCTGATTTGGCTTCTGGCTGAATGGGTGACTGTGGGCCAGTGCTTTGCCTCTCCGGGCCTCAGTTTCCTCCTCTGTGAGCAACAGGGAAGTTTCTGGGCTCCAGATGGTAACAGCATGGGTGAGGTGCTTCACCCAGTTCCTGCGCTTTGTGGAGTGGTCCTGGGGCTGCTGACAAGAGAGGGCTGCTCTCTCTGCCTCCTGCACAGGACCGCTTGGCTATGCTAAGGATGGTAGCCCACAATGACCCCTGCCCATAGAACATGGACACCATGTACACTCTGAAGTTTCGCTTTGTCCTCTTGGTACCTTATGCAGTACCTGGGACCACTTCAGAGCTATAGGAGGGGACTCTGGGTGTTTTGCTCAGGACAGGCTATGAAGTATGTTGGAGAGGGAGGGGACCCCTAGACAGCCCTGAGTCCCCCTCCATTTCCTGCAGATGCTTCAGAACCATGTGGGCAGTGGGTCTTTGGGATGAAGTTGTTTTTACAGTCCTCCTCATCAGGGGCGAGGGGAGGGAGGGTCAAGGGTCTCCATCTCTTCTAAGGGTCAGAGCTTTGACAGCTAGGGTGCAGTGTATGCAGGAGGAGCCAGCTACGTGCATTTTAATTGTGTTTGTGACCATTACCTCACAGTTCACTGCTGTGTTCCTCGGCACTTAACTTAGAACATGCCTGGCAATTAGTAAGCTCATAATTAATATTTGCTGGACTAATTTGATTATTATAACGACCTCTGGGAGTCAATATAAACACTCTCCATTTTACTGATGAAGAAATGCCCAGAAAAGTTAAGTCAATTACCCAGAAACACACAGCTCAGAAGTGGAGGAGCTGGGATTTTGCGCGCAAACATTTCTGACTCTAGAAACTTGTGACACGAGGCTGGGTGGGGCCCTGGACCCGGCATAGACTCTGAGGACGCGCCTTAGCTGTGGGGGCCCCCCCTCAGCATTCCACTGGGGGTCATCAACCCTGGAAGGCCATGTGACCTTGGGCAAGTCGGTCCCTCTCTGGGCCTCAGTCTTCTCGTAAGTCAAACAAGGAGCATGACCCAGACCATCTCCAAGCTCCCTTCCAGCCCCAGAACAATTCCAGGATTCTAAGCTCAGATCATCAGCAGCACAAGCTCCACAGTGTATGCGGAGATCATGCACATTTAACTTCAAAATGAAAGGGTTTTTTTTTTCCCCTTACCCTTTGTCTACACATTACAGAAAGAGGTCAGGATCAATGGCCACTAATGGAAAATCCTAACCTGCAATACGAGGAGGAACTTTCTAACAATGTGCAGGGGCCCCTTAATGCATTTGGTTTCTCAGAGAGCTCGGAGGACATGTTCCTGCAGAGTCCACATGCTCGTTTCCCTGGGACAATAAGAGCAACAGAAGTCTGGGAGGCAGGCCTGTTAGAGGCTATGTGGATGACCTTTAGGGTCAGTGGGCTCCAGGAGGTGACAGCATGGGTGAGGTGCTCAGCCCAGCTCCTGCACTTGGTGGGGTGGTCCTGGGGCTACTGACAAACCCCCTCGGCTCGCATTTCAAGAGAAAGTAAGGCTTTAACCCAAATCAGTTATGGGCTCCAGAGGTGACAGAAGGAGTGGACACAGAGACCCAGCCCTGTTGGGAGTAGGTTGGAACTGACCCAATTTTTGCTTCCAGTACACAAGTCCACTTCATGTCCCTCTCTAGCCTTTAGGTTCAGAGCATCCAGAAAAGAATGTCCTGAACCCCCAACGCTCACCCCAGTGCTCCACCCACTCAGGGGCTTTCTGGGGTACCCCGCCCCAGGCCTGGTGCAGGACTTTGAAAATCAAAGTGCACTGCTTTCACTGCATTAATACCCTCGCTTCTCCTGCTTCCGATCAGGCTGTTTGATGTCTCAGGTGCCCGAACCTTTCATCTGCGGGAGGTACGAGCTTCTCCGCCCTATGATGGAGAGGGCTGTCCCTTGGGAAGGCCAGAGGGTCAGGAAGTTCCTGAATGTCAAGAGATGAAAAGGACTTTTGGGGTCACGTGGTTTGACTTCCCTGGGTCCAGGAAGGAGAAGGGATGCTGTGCAGGCCGAGGGTGATGGCCGAGCCTGGGACCTATGCTTCCCTTTGCTGTATCGTCACCACCCCTCTAAAGACCTAATATGTCGTCCAGTGCTCAGCTTCTGATCTCTCTGGGGGAAGTTAAGGGACTGATTTGGACTGAAGGGAAGTAAAGCCATCTTGGCGAAGGTTGGGAACCCCCGTGGGGTAGTTTTCTGGGCCAGGAACCTTTGGTCACATCACTTCTCCATTCTGGCTAGGGTTTCCTCTTAAAGAGGAGGGAGGGCAAGGGAGAAGTTCAAGGGCTCCAGGGGTCCAGCCAACTTTGCCTTCAGCTCCCAAGAGTCCCTTCCAGACTCTCAGGGCTGCTTTACCACACTCTGTTGCTTACTTTTCTTTCCTGGAAAGTGAACCCCCCAAGAGCTGTGATCCCACCGGCGTCTGAGCCTAAGTGGACATGGAGGGGCAGAGAATTCCAGTCCTCCCTGGAGGGACAGGGCTCAACTCTATAAACACGTCACAGGAGCCTGGACTCTCTTAACCCAGGGCATTGGACTTGAGGTAAAGGATTAGCCTTGACCCCATGGACTGTGGGCTACTCCATCTGGCCTGTACTGGGTTCCTTATCAACTGCCAGCCCGAGATCCACCTGCTGAATGCATAGTGCAGCC